ACGAGATGGGCTGGACAAGTTTGTTTTAGTATTCCTCGACGACATTTTGGTGTACAGTCGGACCAGAGAGGAACATATACAGCATCTTCGCAGCATTCTGAGCCGCCTACGGTCAGAGAAGTTCTACGGGAGACTGGCAAAGTGTGACTTCTTTCGTACCGAGGTGGAGTATTTGGGATTTGATGTGGGGGCATACGGGATAAAGCCCTCACTATCAAAAATTCGTGCAATTGCTGAGTGGCCGACACCTGAATCAGTTCGTGATGTACGTTCGTTTGTAGGACTGGCAAATTTTTACAGAAAATTTATCCGGTGGTTTAGTGAGATAGCCAGTCCACTGACAGACCTCACAAAAAAAGATCGCAAGTTTGAATGGGGCCCAAAGGAGGATGAAGCCTTTGAAAGGCTGAAGACAGCATTAGTGTCTGCACCTGTTTTGCAGTTGCCTGATTTCGATCGTGAGTTTACAGTGACCACCGATGCCTCAGAGGTCTCTGTAGGAGGTATACTGCAGCAGAACTTCGGTCAGGGGTTGCAGCCAGTGGCGTATGAGAGTAGGAAGCTGAACCCGACAGAGTGCAGATACAGCGCGTACGAACGCGAAATGTTGGGGATCGTATGGGCCGTTGGTAAGTGGAGGCACTACCTTGCTGGCCAACATTTTGTGATTCAGACTGACCACGACTCCCTCAAGAACCTTCCAAACCAGCCCTCAGTGAATCGCAGGGTTTGGAAGTGGATACAGGTGTTGCAGGGCTACGATTGTGACATCGTACACATCGCAGGCAAGGTCAACCCTGCAGACTACCTGTCTAGGCGCAGTGTGAAGGAGCTACAAAGCATGGTGGATATCAGAGCGCATGAGGAGTCGATGGTTCAGCGATTGAGATTGGGCGATGAGGAGGTTACAGACGAGCACATCCAAGACAAGTTGGATCAGGTGTTCAAAGGAACAGAGACATCAAGAGCAGGAGCAAGTGAGTGTCATTCTGCGTTGTTTGTGACGAGATCAAGAATTTCATTGGATTCATCTATGCGGGAAAAGATCAAGGATACATATGAGATTGATTCTCGGTGGGCTGACATTGTTACTGAGTTGAAGTCAGACCCACAGAAAAATCTGGTCAAGAGAGGAGTTAAGGAATTCAGAATATCTCATGATTGCTTGGAGATACATGATCGTGAAGGACCAGAAGGAGCAAATAGATGGAGATTGGTTATTCCTGATATCCCTGAGGTTAAGCAGCAAATCATGGAGGAAGTGCATTCAGTGCCTTACTCAGGACATGTGGGATATCAGAAGACTTTGAAAAAACTACAGCAGAACTTTTACTGGCCGGATCACACATTGGATATCAGGGAATTCGTGACCAGCTGTCCAGTGTGTCAATCAGAGAAAAGTGTGCATCGCCAACCAGCAGGACTTCTTCAGCCACTGCAGCTACCAGAACAGAAGTGGGCAGATATCAGCTTGGATTTCATCATGGGACTGCCCAAGTCAGAATCTGGACGAGACGGGATCCTCACAGTTGTGGACCGGGCTACCAAAATGGTACATCTTATTCCGGTGTACCAGACCATCACAGCTGCAGAGACAGCCCAGGTTTACTGGAACTACGTGGGGAAACTACACGGGATTCCAAGGTCAGTCGTCAGCGACAGGGATCCAAGATTTGTCTCCAGGTTTTGGCAGGAATTCTGGAGGTTGTTGGGAAGCAAGCTGAGGATGTCAACAGCGCATCACCCTCAGACCGACGGACAGACAGAGGCTGTCAACCGGGTGGTGGAGATGACATTGCGCTGCACACTACACGCGAGTCAAGAGCCCCGCCAGTGGGAGAAATATCTCTCGATGGCAGAATTCACCATCAACAACACTCCGTCAACAGCAACCGGGTACACGCCATTCTATTTGAACTACGGCTACCACCCGTGTACTCCGGCAGAACTTATTCGAGACGTTGACACCACTTTCCATGAGGGAGTCAATATTTTTGTGTCTCGAATGCAGAAGATCTTCACCAAGGCTCATCAATATCTGCGCAGAGCTCAGGATAGGCAGAAGAACTACGCAGATCAGAGACGACGTGAGCAGGTGTTCCATACAGGCGACCAGGTGCTACTCAGTACGGAGAACTTACAGCTCAAGAATGCACCTGTACGCAAGCTGAAGCGCAGGTTCATTGGACCTTTCTTTGTTACTCAGAGGATCGGACCTGTTGCATACGAGCTGGACCTACCATCTACATGGAAGATTCATCCCGTATTCCACACGAGCTTGCTACGACCCTTTAGGACATCGCAGTGGACTATGTCTACTGGACCTGCAGTGGGAGAGCTGGAGCCAGAGGAGGATGAGCCTTATGATGTGGAGAAGTTGTTGAGGTGGAGGTGGCGAGGACCAAGCAGTCAACGACAAAAGGAGTTCCTTGTGTTGTGGACAGGCTGGTCTCTTGACGATGCGACGTGGATCCCGGCAGAAAACTTCACAAGCGCAAGAGAGTTAGAGAAGATGATCCGACGAGACAAGCCCACAGAGGACCAGAGACAGCCGACAGACGATTGAATTGTTTTCGAGGTCGAAAACTACCCCCAGGGGGAGGTAGTTGTTATGTGAACAATATCTTTGGTCTTTATACGAGCGGAGTGAGATGCGACGCAAAGGCGCGCGGACCAATTATCCGCGCCTTCGCGGAGCATCGAGCGCAGCGAGGCGATTTGGAGATTTTGGATAGGCTTTGGGGATCTGGGTGCTTGTGGGGACGGTGGTTAAAGTACAGCTGACTTGAGGGTTATGTAACCGTGCTGTGTGCCGCGGGGACAAGACACTGGGAACCCTGTAACGAACATCCGTTTTGCTGTCACTGCCTGCCTGCGACCCGCGCGCAAGGCAACGCCGGACCCAATCCACCCTTCCGACTGACGCACCGCAGCGGTCGTTCCGCCAAGGGGCCCACCACGTCCGCGCCGCGTCGAGATCAATCGAGCGACCGTGCCGATTACGCCTGGCCGACCGCCGGAGGGATCGACGATCCATCGCACGGGACGCGCGCGGAAAAACCACGTGCCAGTGATGGTGGTGAGTTGAAGTTGACTTGGTAGGGAAGGATGGGATCAAAGGAGTCTGACGAGATGACCAGCAGGGCGGTGCGTTGGTCGTGTGGTTGAGGGTATCCAGCTGTGTGGTTGTGGGAAGGATCTGGATCCTTAGGTGGACCTTTTTGTGGACCTTTCGTTTTGTCGTATGAACCTGACTGCGGTAATGTATAAAGTGGCGGGGGTGCGCATTGTAGCCGCCCCCGGTCTGTAAGAGCGTTCTTGCTTGCAACCGGAGCACCTGAACGGGCCTCCTCACGAAGTGGGGTTGGGACCTGACGGTCGGGCGGGTGGTTCCCTGCGAAGGGATAAGCCCAGCGTCCAGTGTGTGGCGATTTCGATCGCATTTCGACGCGGTGAATCGATATACGGTGTTTTCCGCATGTTGAATTCTGCTGTGCCAACCCCGAAGGGTCGTGCCATGCCCGGGCACAGATCTTTGCAACATCCAGGACATGCAGCTTTTTTCCGAGGCTGTGCCGCAAAGCCAAAGGCAAGTTTGGCGGCAACGGGCGTCATGTGTTGGAACATTGACGAGAACATTTCTGATGCACTTGCCCAGTGCGCCCATCGGGCCTGAAGAGGATCCAATTGCTTGGAACCTGCGCCGAAGCGTGGACCCGCACCCGGGACCCAAAAAACGCAATCGACTTCGAAACCTGCGCCGAACCCGGAAGCCTCCCCTGCTGCGCAATCCCACCGCTGCACCTCAGTTTTTTCGCCCAACCCCATTTCCATGTCACGCTGCCGCCGTCCCCCCTCTGTGCCCTGCCATGATCATCGGGATCGCAGCGATCCGCAACTCCTCTTTGACGACACTCCCTGGGACCGCAGCGCGCCGGACGGCACCACCTCGCCCCGCTCCCCAGGCGCAACTCTCGGCGCACGGCCAGCCGAGGGCCGCATCAGCATCCCCTGCCCGCGCAAGGACAGCACAGCGGCCCCCTGAGGCCTGTACGTGTGGCGGTGCTCGCTGACCCCCAGGCGCAGAAAACGGCAAAACGGGGAATCGGAAAGAAAACGGGGCCCGGAGGTTGTCGGGGCGAAGGCGGGAGAGAACAGCACGGGTGGGTGAACACGCGCAGCGGCGATCGCAGGGCGGTGGGGTATGGCTCCTTGGAGGCCTGTACATTAGGTAGTTTTCTCCGCCCCAGGCTGGAACGCCGCGAAACACCGAACAAATTGTGGCCCGGAGCTTGGCGGTGTGCCAACGGGAGAGCAGCACGGGTGGGCGAAAGCGCGCAGCGAGGGCCGGCGGGTGGCGCAGCGCAGTCCCCCCTGGGCCTGTGCGTTCGCCATTTTTGGCTGGCATGGGCCCGGAACACGGCGAGAACGCGAAATCGAAAAAGAACGGGGCCCGGGGTCCGGGGGGGTGCAAACGGGAGAGCAGCACGGGCGAGTGGGCCCGCGCGGCGACGCGCAACGCCACAATGCCGCCTTTTGGGGAAGTCGCAGCGGCTGCCGGTGCCGGGAGTGCCGTCCGAGAATTGGCGCCACTGCGTGAGTGATCGGCCGGGGCCGCTGGGGTTTGCTGTGTGTGTCGTTGTTTGTGTGTGTCGGGGAATTGGGAGTGCGCCTGGCCGCGCCGCGGCTTGGACTGTGTGCTCCGGTTTGGGGCCCCGCAGGGATCGGAACCTGTTATTCCGGAGAGCACGATTTTGCCTAAGGTACAGGTCTGAGAGGAGCCACTGTGTTACACAGATAAAGAGAAGCAGGTCATACAAAGCTCATGCCCTCCTAAGCGTGAGACGATGATGCGGAGTCTTCAAAGGGGTGTGGGGGTGGTGAAAATTGTGAAGGTGCTGACGTCGCGGGGTTGGCTGCAGGTGCCGAGCGCGCCAGTGCGGCCGGCGTTCGGGCTGGGGCCGAGGGCCTGAGCGCCCGCGGCGGGGCGCCGGGGGCCCATGGACAACATAGAGAATTTCAGGGAGAGGGCGCTGGAGGTGGCCAAGGTAACGGGGGGTGGGTTTGTGTGGTTTGGGGGTGGGGTGGGGCGGGGGGGGGTGGGGAGGGAGGATTCCCAGTTTGGTGCGAGCCGGTGCACACGCGACCCTGCTCTGCTTGCTCCAAACCGAAAAAAGACTCCACAGTCGGCCCGAAATGTAACACACGTTGGGCGCACCCACTTCTGAGCAGCAGATCATGGCTCTGCTTCATTCTGTCAAAAGTGATAGGGACGTGCCCGGTGCGAACACAAGGAGAACCGTCAGGTTCAAAGGAGTTACGCACGTCAAAGACAATCAAGTTCGGTAGACAAGAAATGCGCTGCGCTTTAGCTGTTTTCTGATACTGTGGCACAATGTGCACGAGGGACTTGGCAAGGTCCAAAGAGCCAGCCCTCCAAATGTGGCGGCAGAAGCAATTGGGACCTCGTCAGGCATCTGTGGGTGCCCCCTGTGGCCTGCTGCCTTGGATACTCCTGTAGCTATCAGTGTTTCTTGCAAAGGGAAAAGTGTATCATGTCAAGGGAACTTGTTGCTGACCATGTGTGGCAGAGGCTGCTGCCATACTACGCAACATTGTGCAGGATCCAAACAGGCATTTTGCTGTGAAGCACAGCAAATGGCTAGGCAGATTGGAAGCATCAGTTTGTCATAACCATGCATCTTTCGCTCCATAGAGAAGGATAGAAGTGCACAATTGTCCAGAGGTGCCCAAAATACTTGCGTGTCCTTTGCTTACCGTTTCAAGCACGTAGCAAGACAGGCATGGGCACTACAAGGGCCATCAAACAATCGTACTACACACCAGCCTGGCGTAGATGAAGCTAATGCGTGGTTGGACCTTTGCTAGTGTTGTAGCAAGCTTTTGCCCTGCCATGACAGGCTGTCAAGAGTGGGAAGTGCAATGCAAGCATCGTCAGTGTCCGATCCCACTCTGGTCATGAGACAGAAGAAAGCAACGACAAGTGCCCTCCAGAAGTCGATGGCAGGGAACTGACTGAATACATCCATAGCAAAGAGAACCAACCAGATGCAAGGTTCGCATCACCCAGCACGTTCCCACAAATGGGTGAATTCATGTGTGATGTTATATTGTAACATGTTGGCATGAATAAGACAGGCAATGGTGCTTTGGGGAACGTTTTTCCAACAATGCCAGAGGATACCATCTTCCAGTTTGGATGCCTGATTGCGCTGCGTTTTTCTCTGGGTTGATCTCTCCACTTTGTCAAACCTTCCACTCCATCACCTCCAATTGCAGGCCATCTTCCATTGCAGGCCAATCCGTCTGGCATTGGTGATCACTCACAGATCTAACTCAGTGTTCAGAATCCCCGTCGCCTGATCATCCTCGCTTTGCAGGCAACAAGGTGCTGTTCCTTGAAATTTGCGGCAAATGGTGTAACACACCAATTCACCAAGCCACCGAAGATGCGCATCTGCGATCATGGCATCATTGAGTCGTCACACAGTCCAGCAGGTGCCTGGGCAGCATTCTCTTTGTTTAACTACAGCAACCAGCGAGGGTTTCTGCCGTCCTGAGGAAACATTTTGTGAAGCAAAAATTGTTGACAATGGCTGGCATGGATGCAGGATCTAGAGGTTTTCAGCGATGCATATAATGTGGGCACTCTCAGAAATCGTGCTGAGGAAGCAGCATCAAGGGCAGTGCACGATGCCTCACGGCGGATTGAAGAGGCCATGGTGAAAGCTGAACTGGCCAGAAGAAGAGCAGAAGAAGATGCTGAGGTGGGCGATGTGGCAATCTGTTGAGGATTGGACCCGTACTTCTTTTGTGCTCGATGGAAGTGTTTTGATTATGGAGACAGGTATCCTGGATTTCAACTTTGCTTCTTTTCTTTGATGCCCTTTCTGTATGCATTGCAGACGAATGGTGAGTGGATAAGTGGGCAGATGAGGGGCAGAAAATTGCTTGTTGTATACACTGTCGTCATCGCCTGCAAGGCGCAAGGGCCATGCTTTGTCTTTCAAAGCCAACAAAGGAGAGAAAACAAAGGAACTTAGCGATGGGCAGATATGGATGGAAGGAACTGCACCATTGATCTACTGGTGGCTGCAGCAATGTCTGCAACCACCCATTGTGCAGATTGTTGGCAACATGCAGCAACCACCCATTGTGCAGATTGTTGGCAACATGCAGCATGGCGATCGCACAAGTGCACGTACACTACAAATGGTTGCCTTCCCTTTGCTGGCAATAGCATGCTGTCCATCGCCATTTATGGCAGTCGAACACTATCAGGTGTGCAATTGTGTTATTGCTCTGTGCCATGCTGTTAATGATGGTGTAAATGACTCTGATTGCATGACGAGAAGCGCACCAAACACTGGAGCCAAGATCTGCTAATGGATCTCTAGCAGAAATGCTGAAAGAATAAATGAAGCACAGTAATGGCGAAGTAAGAATGGTTGCAATCTCACTGTCGAGGTGATTACTGGGAGTAGATATTGCAACAGCAGGCTCTGACATTCACTATTTCCTCTTTTGTGCCAGCTGGAAACTGCATTGTCAACAAAGAAAGGCGACCAGTGCAGCACCTGCATGGTTAAAGCCCTTTGTCCTAATTTCCCTTCAACACCTTGCAGGTGTTGATGGGCGGTGTATTCCCAAAGTGTATTCTGTCATCTGTTCAATTTCTCCACTTGCACATGCACATGGGTGACAGGTGACTCTCTTCACAACACATCTGCAAGAATGTTCATTCCTCAGCAGCCAATGACCTTTCGCCCAATTGGCGATGCATTGTATCTTTTGCACTTTCATCAGATTCTTGTCCCGAAAGAACATGTCGCACGGCCACAGAATGCATTTCTGCACTCTGTGATTGACCTGAGTGGTTCTGCAGCTGTACTGTGGGCTGTGTTCTCAGAGTGGCAGGAAGATTTTAACAGATTCGTCTGTTTTTTGTGTTTGTGGACGACATGGATGTTTAGCTAATGGCTGTGTGGGCTGTGGAATAGAGTGGTGGGAAGAATATGACGGATGCCATGAAGAGGGAAAAGTTGGTTTCTGCTTTGGAGCGGGGGGACAAGTTGCAACAGCAAGTGAACCAGATGGAGGAAACTATTGCTGAGTTGAGAAGGTGAGTTGCTGAGGCGAAAAGGGGCAGGTCTTCTGCCATCTCAAAAGGCATTTCTCTGTCATATTGGAAGCACATAGGTTTCATTTTGTAGGCCTCACAGGCCTGCAAATACATACACATTCTTCTGTTCGACACGCTATAAATGCATTGCGCAATTAACAGCACACGGCAACTGTGTCACTTTGTGCAAATTTTATGTGCCAATTGTGTAGCTTTGTTTCTTATCTCTGTACCAACATAGTGTAAGGATTGCCAGTTGCGATTGCATCATAGGTCCATGTTGCTTGGCTCCTGATTTGCTAATAGCGTGCATGGCTCCCTATTGTCTGGTTGTTGTCAGCACAGATAGGTGTGCGATGGGTGGGCGCCTAAGGCGATTGCCTTAAGGGATGTTTGAGTTTTGCTGTCAGGGTCAATGACAGATGGTATGCGTGCATTGGCCACCCTTTGCCACAGCTGAGGACAAGTACTGAGGACAAGTATGCACAGCATTGTGCTTCAACCTTTTAGACCTGTGTTGTGGTTGAATGAAAAGTGTCATGGTGTAGGACTTGCCCTAACATGCCCACTATATTCCATGGTGTAGACGTCATTGGAAGCAAATTTGCAGCGTATAACAAGATCAATGTTTCATAGTTTCGTGACTTGGTGTGGTGTGTCTGTCGGATGCAGGGATGTGGATGAGGCCCGCAAGGAGAAGAACTGCATCGAGCAGGCCTCCAAGCAGGCGTGGCTCGAGGTGGCGTCTCTGAAACAGGAGGTGGCGGAACTGAAGGTAAAGAAGGGCCTCCTGGAAGAGCAAGCAGCCGAGGTGAAGGCTGCACGGACGAAGACCCGCGAGGGAAGCAGCACTTCTGAAGAAACGAATAAGTCAAGCACCAAGTCTACTAGCTCCTGGAAGGGCTTGTTCGTGCTGTGCAAACGAGCCAAGGTGGCGTGCTAATCAGCTGCGACCCTGCGAATGGGGTTTAGGGGGACCCCTTATGCCCATACCCTACGCCCTGGCCGACAGTCAGCTGGTCAGTAGTGCCGTGCGGGGTCTGGCACACAGTTTTGAGAGCTCGCTGGGATGTAGAATATTGCTGCAGCGGGTGGCGAATTGGTTGTTTGCGTCCTGAATGGACACTCATCCCAATGACGACACTAGCATCAGCACAGGCACTGGAAGTCCTGCAGTTCATTGTTCAGTGCATCAACGCTCAGCACCAGCAGAACAACGGCCTGACTGACATGCAAGACTTGGATTTCCAGAAAAAGATTTGCATCCAGGGATTGCCCAGATGAGTCGTCGATGCTTGCGTGCGGATTAGGTGCTATAGGATCTGAGCGTGGGTTAGGGAGTTGCGCATTCTGCCTCACAGGCGGACGATGGATCCACTTCAGCCTCCAGTTGTGATATCAACCACATAAGAGCTGCTGCACAGATGCACACCAACTGGTAGAATTGATGGAACTCTGGGCGGGAGCAAGTATACGGTTTCGACCTGATCCCCAAACCATTCCAACTAGGGAGCCCGAGTCAGTTGCAACTGCCCGGCTTTGTGTAGGGGCTGTACATTGTGCAGTGCACAGATGCTCTGGTGGGGCCTCCGCAGGGATACGTACGTTGTGCAATGTACGGGCGCCCAAAAGCAGGGGACAGAGCTTTGCTGTTTGTGGTCGAGAGGGAAATTAGCCATGCCACTGCTACTGCCCTCGTGACTGTTAACAAGACACCAGTTTCGTCGCAACAAGGAGGCCACGGCAGGCCCGTGTCTCATAGGCGCTCTTTATGGTCACGTGGACCATGCTGGGCACTGGCTTGGCGGCGTGCCCCCAGTATTGCAAGTGGGAGTTCTGCCCCTTCGAGACGCGCTTGGTTTCAACGCCGGGCTGTGGTGTATGGATACCCCATGGCGATTGGCATGCCATGTGGACGGTGCACTGCGAAGCGCTAGAACGGCTGTTGAATTTACTGAATTATATCTCAGATTCAGTGATTTGATGGTCACCATCCATGCTGTTGACTCCTATAGGAATGCGCAGTGCCCGATCCGTTGGCCAATTCTGTGTGCTGGGAGGAGATCTTGCATCGCCCCTCGTGCCCTCACCGTCCCTTATGCACATGGCCCAGTAGTGGTTCTCACGTTGATGTGTGGAGTGCTGCTCATTGGCGCGCCTGGGATGGTATGTCATTTGAAATTTCGCGCTATCCACTGGCAGCCAGTCGGCGCTCAGTTTGGACAGAGTGCTGCACATTCACAACAGTCAGGATCGGTGCACCGCCATTCAAGCCAGGGCGCTGTCGCTCCGCAAATTCGCTGACGGTGCCCACACCATTCACTGCTTCTGCAGAAATGTGAACCACCTATGCTGTGGCGCAGCTGCTTGTGACGCATTTTTGGCCAATGATTTGCGCGTGTGGGATGCTACAGCTGCCTTGCAAACCCAGACAGGCGCCTAGCCACCGAAGAAATGACATGACAAAACAAGATTGCGATGGCTAAGCGTTTGAAAGCTAAGATGTCATTTACATGCAGCCCTTGGTGGATGTATTCATGACAATGCAAGGAAACAAGGGCACTGACTGCGAGACGCTTGAGGGCCCAGCCTTCCAAAAAATAACCAGCCCGAAGCTGCGTGCTTGCTTCCGACACAGCGTTGGAAAGTATGCCCAGTGGGCGCTGTTGCGCTACTGGAAGTTGAATATTCGGAGTTGTCCGCGCTGAATCTGGCGGCCGCCTTCACTTCAGCACAGTCAAACGGAAGCCGCCCAGCCGCTGCATGGACAGCGCAGCAGAGCGAAAGCACCCAGTCCCTGATAGAGGGGGCACCGCCCGGCTGGAAGCAAGCATCCATGGCCGGGGAGCATCCAGAGCGCCAACTTTCCTTCGCTTTTCTAATGTTTTCCATCTTGCTCTTCAAACCCTCCCTTCGAGCCGACATGCGCCGCTTGCTGCGCCTCGCCCCAACACAAATCAAGGCGCATGACAACCACCCCGCTCACCACTGGCTCGCGGGTCGGCCACCTGGAAGTCAAGTGCCCACGGCCCCCATTCACAACCACAGCAAAGCCGGACCAAACAGATTTCCAACCCCAAGCGTCCTGTTGCTGCTGTGGCACATTGCCTCCAGGTCCCCCCCCTGAAGAATGCGCTAACGCGCAGCAAATGTGTCCTGCGTCAACCATCGCCGAAAAGCGCAATAAGGGCGGCCAAGCAACGCCAAAAGGCTCCGCCACGATGGTGGCCCTGCCTGGACATCGAGGCACGCACATCTTCGGATAAATACGATACGGAACCACATGGTTCCCAATTTGGGTGTTTGCTTTCTCAACATGAGAAGCAGCCCTCTCCCGGGCCTATGCCCCCAAGCCCCAACGACTCAAACGCGAAGAGCGAACAGACATCTACCTGGCAATCTCAACCTCCAAAACAAATCACAGCCAGGCACTGCATTGAACTTCCGTGGGAAGATCATTGCCGGGCTTTCGGTGAGCCCCTGGCCAGACCATGGCGGCCCAGCCCTGCGCGGAATGGCTCTTGTCTTTTACGCCATCCCTTGCTGGAGCAGCTTAATTGAACATCAAGCCCCTCCACCGGCAGAACAGAATCAGGAGGACGAAGATGACCACAGCGCCCACAGAGCTGATGGTGCTCACCTGCATCAGCCAGCAAGCAGCTTACGCGCCCTTCGATTGTCGCGGTCGGCGCGAATGCAGCAGTTGCCGGGGCTCGGCAGGTCTGATGCAAGGTAGGTCTTTTGACATCCGTGCGACATCAGGCGCATCGGGTTTTATTGCAATAAAACGGGTTTTATTGCAATAAAACGGGTTTTATTGCAATAAAACGGGTTTTATTGCAATAAAACGGGTCTTACTGCAATAAAACGGGTCTTATTGCAATAAAACGGGTTTTATTGCGTGTTCAATTGAACAATGTAGAGGCTGATTCACACGCAAAACTGGGCGTTGGCCGACACCTCCTTCGCTCTAATTGTGATGTTTTCTGATTGGTCAATGGAAACTCTGCGCTTCTGACATCAACAAAATACTCATCAACGAGTATATGTCATCACACATCAACAAGTACACGTCATCATACACCAACAAGTATATTCTGACATCAACTTCTGACATCAACAAGTATGTGTCACCAGATCAAAACCTACCGCCAGATAGCAAACCTTGGATGTTTGGGCACTACCTTCATAGGTAGGGGCTGGTAGGATGCCCACTTGTTTATAAATACAAAAACTTCTGAATGGCTGTATGTACAAAGCAGCAAAATTTCATGTGTCTACAAGGCAAGCACGTTGTGTTGCGACTCCCCTCTTATTAAACCATGTGCAGGGCTTTGCACTCTCCCGTGCCTTGAAATTTGGTTGTCAATCGAGCGCTTTCAATTCTTGACAAGAATTTCGCATAACATTTCATCGAATGTGGCGGTGTTATCACGCACCAGAACGAAAGCGTTGGGGTCGATCTCCTCGTCATTGCGCAGATTCATGCCGAAGATTCCAGAAATCACTGCAACGAAAGCTAGCGCAAATGTTCCGGCTGACATGAGCAGTTCCAGCTGCGCGGCAGCACAACACACCTTTGTATTACCAATTGAACCCAAAATTATCAAACACAATATAATTCAGCTGCGCACGTCAAAAATTATTTCAAAAGAGCGTGAAATCAGGCTTGATTCACTAGGAAAAAAGGGACAAATAACACTTTTGTGAACACACACAAAACACATTTCATCAAAGTTCTGCACGCTAAGAACACAAAAATAACGCAAACCCGTAAACTTTGTACACGTTTGAACACGTGCTATATGGCCCTTTTTCCCTAGTGATTTTTACGCCGTAAAAACTGATCGTATTTATGTTTTAATGCGCAAAAACAGTGTTTACATTTCACGCATATAAACGAGTATGTACAGCCCCGTGTACATAAGAACAGTACATACAGGCTTGGGGAGTCCGAATACTGGCAGTCAGACGCTCTGGAATGAGTAGAAAATGAACTTTTGTTCCATGCCGTCGTTGCCCTTGCCGAAAGCGAGGTGGACACTGTGTTGCGGGTGCTGGAGATGGCGGACGACTGATAATTGCACGCGACTTTCATCGTGTAGCCTGGTTGTCGCAGCGAGAATGCAATGTCCAATACTGCATTACATTCGACGAACAACACCAAAAAAAGGTTTAAGCAAGGGAACCTTATCCAAAATTCTCTTGCCATCATCCGCTTGAAGCACTGCATCTATCTCCTACGCAGGGCAGCCAAAAAGGCATGCAGGGCAAACAGCGGCACGGAACCGCCGTTTCCGTCCGCCACACCGACCTGCAGCAGCTGATTGCGGTGCTTGTCCTGCTCGATGTTGATGTAGTCCTCCGTGTCCCCGATGTACTCGCACAGCGTCTGCAGCCTGCTGAGCGTGTTGTCCGTCTGCATGAAGTAGGCCTCCAGCAGCATCTCCACCTCCTGCAGGTCCTCGTCCTGGCTGTCGGTGTCGGACGCGATGTCGTTGAAGTCGGCGGAGACGCGCCGCTGGAGGGACAGGCTGCCCACGCGGCCCAGCTTTCGGGCGGCCAGGGAAGCTTGCCTGCGCGGATGAGCCACGGTGAAAAAGTAGCCCAGTTGTTCACCATCCTTTCGGGCAAAACTGACGCCAGATAGTGAAAAAAATGATGCCAAAAATAAAACATGGTAATAGATAGTACTGCAGAAAAATGAGCCTTCAGTATCCTTGCGCGCAAGGATGGTACGAGCAACTGTAACGTACTGAGCCATGTGCCATTTTTTGGTAAAACACGTTTCGCGACAAAAATTGCGGATGGGAAGGCGCAATTGAATTTATTTTTTGGTGCGACTTGCGCTGCTCATGTTCGATATTAAGAGATTGACGGCCAATGGATGTGGTAATATATTGCTTTAACCTGCCGATTCTGCCCCAGCGGAAGCAATGCAGA